ATGCATACAGTCAGCGACAGTGTTTTTTTTTGGGACACTAAAAGAGATGTATGACCATGTGAAGGACATTTTAGATGGCATTTGTTTGGAAGCCAGAAAGGAAATGCAAGATATGGATCAGGAAATATTAGGGAGCTGGCAGAGGGCTGTAACCTGTGGCGATGCGGTTTGGCTGACTAGAGGCAGTTTTAGCCGAAACTGCACATACACTGTCAGAAATTACTTGACTGGTGCTCTTTTGTATTATTGTCACATTTGTCAAAAGGGAAGTGACAATTTGTGTCAAGATGACATATATGAAGGCACATCAAAAGCAGCAGAAGGTTTCGGTGCTAACGAGGTATTCAAGCTCATGGTCAAGGATCAAATGAATGTGGAATGCCACATTCAAGACGGAGACAGCACATCTGAGAATGTTGTCTTGAAACATTTTCCACTTTGTCGGGTATTGCGGTGTGGCAATCATGTGGCGAAGAATCATGCTATAAAGTTAGACAAATTGCGTAAATTAAAAGAAATGACAACTAATGATGGTGTTAGAGTAGAATGCTACTGCAAGGGGAAAAAGCATGCGAAGCATTGTGGTTGCCTCACTGAGAAGTTCATTAGAAAAGCCAAAGCTTCATTTCAGATGTGCCTTACGAATGCTGGCACAGACCCCAATGCTTTCTCAGAGAAATTAATGAACTTGGCATTGCACCACTTTCAGGATGAACACCAATGGGATGGTGGCCAGTGTGATTTTCACCCATTAGTAGTGTGTAGCTGTGGTTCTTGTACAGATAAATACAATTTAAAATGCCATGGAAAACCTTACAAAAGTGACCAAGTTTTGAAGTGTCCTTTTCATACTCTAGCTTACAAGTTAGAGTGTCAAGAAAAGGCAGGTCTGGCTGATGTATTGATACATCCTGAAATAGGTAAAGTCACAACAAACCCTGTTGAAGCTTCGCACAATGTGCTTGTTAGGTATAGGTCCAAAAATTGGAACCTTGCACGTCTTCACTACCACGTTTCTACCAACATAGGTCTCATTCAATGTTGCATGACCTATCTGTTTACAAAACGTGGTCCTCAGTACCACTGGATTCTTGACATCCTTAAGCGGATGTGCCTTCCTGTTGTTCAGAATCTTCCATCTATCTTGGAGAAGCTGAACGCAGATAGATTTTTTGATATAGAAAGCAAGAAGACCAATGTTGCTAAAGCAAGGAGGAAGCTTTATAAGAGAAAGCGTAAAGTCTTTGAACATCAACGCAGGCAATTGTTTGTAAAAGAGAGTGCAATGAATCACGATTATGGAAGGGATGCATCTACTGAAGAAGTAATTGCAGATGCCTCGACTGACAAATGCAAATGTGGCTCAACAGACCACAGAAGGACGTCCCACAAGAGTTGTCCACTGAGGAGAACCTGTGATACTGCTACTGGAATTGATACCTCCTGTGACATCAATGCATCCAAAAGTGATGACAATGTATCTGAATATGACGATGATTGTTATGACTTTGAATGTTCCCTAAGTGATAAAACGGTTGTTGAATTGTGTGCATGTCCCAATTTTCCATGTCACAAATGGGATTGCCCTGATAATGTAAGAAATAGGAAAAGGGCTATGGACAGCTCACTCACTCCTGGTGCCTTGTGGACACCGCCACTTAAGAAAATGGGTCTGAATTCACTGAAAGTCCCTTCTCCATTAGTTTTATCAAAAATTAAAGACCAAAGTACCCCTGCTCATGGAAGTGTCATTGTCCCATGCAATGCATCAACTGCTGAAAAAGTAGGCTCTGCTACTGTATCCACTCCATCTTTTATCGTTGGTAAAACGTTGGAGATGTCTGTATCAAAATGCTGTTCGCCATCCAATACTCTTGTTCTACCACAAATTCCACGGCAAAGTACTCCTGTGGTGCACATTTCACACACTGTATCAACTGTTCATAAAGTAGGCTCTCACTCCACATGTACTCCAACTTCTGTGGACAACATGCCGGAGGTACATGTATCTTTAAGTAAGTGCCCTTCACCGTCGATGACCCCAGGCCCATCAAAATTGAATAAGCAAAGTTCCCATTTAGCAGTGGCTAAAACAGTGGGTTCTCCTTCTGTACATACTCCAATTTTGTTGCAGAATAAAAAATGGGATTCCTCAGTACCGCTGACTTCTGTTCCATCCAAAAGTACTCCAACATCTATCCACAAGATGCAGGAGGTACAGGTGTCTTTAAGTAAGTGCCCTTCGCCATCAATGACACCAAGTCCATCGAAATTAAAAGAGCAAAGTTTCCATTTAGCAGTGGCTGAAGAAGTAGGTTCTCCTTCTATATGCACTCCAAGTTTGTTTCAAAATAAGAAGTTGGAGCTCTCTGTACCAAGGTGCTTGCTGACCCCTTTTCCAATCAAAATGAAAGACCACAGAACGACTGGTGTTGATAGTGTAACTGTTCCTCACAATGACTTTATGGGTCAAAAAGTAGAGACAAAATCATTTCACAGTCTTGAATCAGACTGTTTAATTGATGAAGAAAAGACCAAGGGTGCTTCAAAGGTTTTGCATGAAATGTTACCACCTCCTTCTACAAATAGAGATTGGGTACAGAAAGCAGTTGCAATTATATCAAAGCTTTCTGGTATTGCAGTTGTTCAACGTGTTGATGCTGTCAAACAGGTTCCTTGCAGAGAAATAGCTCCTCATATTCGGGATGAGATTGTCGGTGATGGGGCATGTTTCTATAGGACAATTTCAAAAGCCATTACTGGTACTGAAGACAATCATTTTGCAGTCCGTATGTCCTTAATTAACTTCATGCTTGACCCTGCCAATGTTCTTGCCTTTGGTAGACTCGTTCGTGCAGGAATTTATTACGATATTGATGCATTAAAAGCAGTGAGGAGTCACATAAACAGACATAAACTCTATTTAGAAACCTCATGGTCAACTGAATATGAGGTATTTGCAGCTGCCACAATGTTTCAAGTTAAGATTATGGTATTTTCAGAATATTCCAATTACCGTGATTGGCATACTTATGTGCCTCGGTTCACTAATGAAACTTGCATGACACCCATGAAAGTCATGTTGTATCTGTACCACATTAATTGTAATCACTATGATTTAGTGATACCTGTACTTGATTAAAAGCAGTGTAATGACATTTTAGCCTTGCTATTTTAGAGTGAAATTGTTTAGTTTAGTTTTCTTTAGCTTAATACAAAATGGTAAGATCTTTGTCTTTGATGTTATAAAGAATTTTATACTATTTTCGTTAATATAGTGCAATTACTACTTAAGATATTTTAGTTTCATTATTTGTGGTTAAAGTACAACTGCATCTTGTTTGTTTGTAATTACTCATTGTATGCTTATCGTATTTTGCCACTTGAGTATGTGAATACTCCCTCTCACTCTCTGTTGTAGACAAACTGTCCACATTTGTGACATTTGCCTAAACCTTTGCAGCACATTATGCTAATGGCAGTTTGTGAGAAATGTTTTAATTAAAACACACAATACTAACTATACAAACTGGTCATGTACCACATGACATGTAATGACATTATGACAGTTGAATACAGGGTGACTTTAACTATTTGGTGCTGTACCACGTATTGGGTGGCAGCTTATTAAAGTTCTAAGAGTGATGAAAGTCACTAGATCTTTATGCTCAATTGCTGTGACACGCTTTGGGTGGCAGCTGTTGATATATTTCATAGAGTGGTTCAGAAACTCTGAATGTAGCTACATGCCGTACCACGCTTTGGGTGGCGGTTGTTGTTGCATTATACAGAGTGTTACATTGTAGTAGTGAAATCATGTAAGTAGTACCACATGTTGTGTGGCAGCTTTTGTGTCATATTGACAGTCACTAGTAGTGAAGCAACATGCCATGCCATGCTTCGTGATGGTCGCTGTTGTGTTGTACAGGGAATATAGTGAAATAAACTGCATGCTAAACCACACATATAAACTAGCATGCCAAGTGTTTTGAACTGTATGTGGCAAATGAGAGAGAGAGTTACTGCTATAATGTGCTGCTTAGGTAAAATTGCAGAGTTGTGAGTTTTTTGACCTGGAATGTGAGACTACCTCCTCGTGGTCCAGGTTGGGATTTATTGTATGATATGCAGTGTATTGTACAATAAATGCAAATTGTCTCACTTTTAAAGTCCAAAAATATGTTGAATAGATAGTCTTCATTTTTTCATTTAGGGAGTGTTGTGAAGAATAGTAATTGGTGCTGTATGCAACAAAGTATTGGATTTATCATTGGTAGTAATGTACTTCTGCCTAACAAAAAAAACCTGCTTGTTTTAGTCTTCTGTTGGTTGCATTTGTAATGTGCATCTATATTCTGTAGTGTTATATTTTAGTGTTGTTTGACTTGTAGCACATCTTTTGGGAAGTCTTATTTTTTAAATATGTTTTACCTAATGGCACCTTCTGCTAAGAAAGTTTCTTCCTTATACTCTGGGGTACATCCACATGCTGTTGCACTTGAGTATGTGACAAGTTGTAAAATTCGTTTAACTGGTTTTGGGACAATGTAACAGTGCTTTTGTCTGAAGACTATAATGTACATGCATAGATTAACTGTTTTGCATTTTATTGATATACATAACTAGGTGTGACACTTACATTACATTTTCTTTCTGCTATAGTTTGAAGAATATATTAAAGCAAATCATTGTACACTTTTTCTAGCTACAAAAACTGTTGCAGAACAAGTTATGTGTGTACTACTATGAAGCTGTAGTTTACAGCAATGGAGCATATATACCGGTTAAGCAAAGGGAAAACACTCACCATCTCAGTCTATTTGTGCTTTATAAAGTAAGAGTCTCCTTTTTTATTGCAAAACAAACTTTCTCTCTTCAGTTAACTTTTCCATTATGAGAAATGGAGGCCTTGTCACTATTTTCATGTATGTTTACTAGAGGGACAGAGCAGTTTTCTGAAAAGTTTGTAAATGTGTGACTATAATTACACTCACAGTTTACATGTATTATCATGCCATCCTTCTTGTTATATTCTTCAGGTGGTATCGTTTGCCGGATACATTTGGTAGCTCATACTATAAGGATACTTTGTCCTAGTGGGTGTGGAAGTGAAATTAGTTTTGAGGGTTCTATATGCTTTATTTATTGTAACAACTCAAGATCTTTGAAAATACTCAACCTGGACATAGTAAGGAAGTAAGCAATGCAATCAATAATTTTCTTTGTTATAGATTTTTACTTGCAAAATTATCGTTGTTGTTCATTGATGATTAAAATCTATTACTGGAAGTATTTGTAAACTTTAGACTTTGTGATAACTTCTTATACATGAAAGTGATGAATATGAGAAAGGCATGCACAATACATTTTTTTGAACTTTTTGGGTGAATTTCTTTACAATTATGAGAGGAACTTTAAGTTGCATAATGAATTATGTATGTACCTATCATTCAATGTATTTGTCCCTTGCTCTTGCAGTTAGCCAAATTAATTACATGAAAAGTAAAGCAAGTAATTCTATTTTAATGTAGAATACCTCTCAAAATATACAGATTTGGTGAGTCTTGCAAGACACTATATAATTGTTTATTGTTTTGCATGTTGTATAGTTTTGATTCTTTCAATGCTCTTTTTAAGTTTAAGTTATAGACATTTATTAGATGCATGTATGCTTCCTATTATGCCAAGCTTGTAAAGTACCTGTCCTGTAAAAATTTTTTTGCACACACACTTATGTATGAGTTCTGTCTTTAATGTTAGGATAAATGATAGTTAGAAAAATATTAAACTACTATTTCTGTTGTTTTATGTAGTTTTATTCACTCAATATCTAGAAATTTGCTTACTAAAGTGAATTGTTGCATCAAATTAAATAATGATAATAATATTCTATACTTGTACATTATTCGTCCATATTGTCTATTTTTTATGACTGCTCTGCTCTCTTTTTTTGTTTTTTCAAATCTTTTTTGCTCTTTTATCTGGATATGTCTGATGATAGTGCATGATTCCATTAAACTGTGAAAAATCTTAATTTGAAAACAGTGTTCTTACCTTAAGCTGGAGATTTGTAAGAATGAAATGGGATATGTTGATGATGTCATTTTAAGTCAATTTTATGTCATTTTAAGTACTGTTAGGACAATGAAGTTATATCAAAGTCATATTGTTACATGTACATATGTGTAGGCATGTCTTTGGCTAGTTATACCATAGTCATTATGTTACATACATGTAGGCATGTCTTTTGCTCTTAGCATGCTGGTTAGCTGCTTTAGTTGTAGTTATTTTTTGTTAAAAATCTAATGTATACTTATGTGCCTTCCTGGTCCACTCTGTTGGTCTAATTTGTAGTGTACAGGCATTGAGAACTTGTTTACAATAATAATGAATTAACAACAATAAATATTGTTAAAAATTAAAATTATAAACACTTTATTATTACAACCTCATGGAAAAATACAGTAACTTAAAAACAAAAGTTTGTAGAGCTAGTCAACTTTGTAGAAGTTGTACTCACAACCAAGTTTTTACGGACCTATTCAGGTACATACATTATATAACACTAAGTTTGATACACGTAAATCTACATGTAGCTAGACACACTGAAAAAGGTGGACTGATGCTTGTAAAAATGCTCACAAGGCAAAACTCAAAGTTTACCATGATGCATGTCGCATTCTATTAATACATGTAAATAAACATAAATGAATAAGTAGAAATGCACTGTGCTACAGAAATGTGACTATTGTACCTGTCATGAACTTACTACAAATGGAGAAAAAACGCAACTCGTGTAAAGTTGTACATGGTAACATGCATGTATCAAAATAAATAAACTAGGAGTGTAGATATCACAACTAAAACCTTATCAATGCAGCAAATACTATATAGAATTATGACTTGCGACTAATGAAACTGATTTTATACAATCATCAGTGCTATGAAACAATCACCACGAAGCTATTGTAGCTCAATTCAAAAACCATTTTGCATGTTGTATAGTTCTGATTCTTTCAATGCTCTATTTAAGTTTAAGTTATAGCCATTAATGGATATGTGTATGTTTCCTATAATGCTAGCTTGTTAAGTACTCCTCCTATAAAAATGTTTTTGCACACACACACTTATGAACAACAATAAATTTTGTCGTTCATTCTAGGATAATTGATAGTTAAGTAATAATAAACCACTATTTCTGGTTTTTTGTAGTTTTATTATTTCCCCAATATCTAGAAATTTGCGTAATAGTTGTATTGACATAAGTAACAATAACAATACACAATACTTGTACAATATTTGTCCATACTGTCTACTTTGTATAACTGCTCCACTCTTTTTGTTATCTATTTGCTTTTTTATCTGGATATGTGTGATGATGGTGCATGATTTCATTCAATTGTACAAAAAATCTCAATTTGAAAACAATGTTGTTACATTCAATTGATTACATATGGAAGAATGAAATCTGAAAGATTGATGATGGCTTTTCTAAGTCAATTAGTACAACCATGTTGATATTTTGTCATAAAAATATAGATTGTTTTGTATTGGGCCACTTTTATCATCTTCTGGTTTTTTAGGTGCCTCTGTGAACGATGGAGCAAGGGAATAACTTCATTGGAATGTATAATTGTAATAATAAAATCAATTTTTGAATTAATTAAGGTTAAAGTAACCATTGTACATCACTCTCTGTAGGTTAGACTTGATCACAGTTATTGAAAAGTAATTCATGCGGAATTTGAGCTGATTATCATTATGACTTTATGATTGGATCATTTCCAGTGGAACAGAACGATGCTGTTTATTTTTTTTTTTGCATTATTGTATTTTTAATATTAAAAATTATTTTGCAATTAAACAATCTCTTGAACAGGCTGCGCAAGCATAAAAAATAATTACCAGAGTGGCAAGCAAAATGAAATAAGCACATTAAACTGTGAGGCTAATTGCAAACACTTCTGAAATATTATTATTAAAATTGTCTCTTTATAAAATAATTTTTCATAGCTTACTGAGAATGGTAGCAACAGCAGAGATATTAAGAAAAAAAAAGATTCACTTCGTCTTCCTTAGAAATAATACGCCATCTTTAATCTTGTGTCATTTCTGGATACCTCTGTATATTATAAAACTGGCGGGAAATATTAATTGCAAGGTGGGGTTAAGTTATGACGTCATATTAGTCAAACCATTAATAAAAATGGCCACCAGTATGTACTTCCTGACTATTGTTTATTTAGCTGTTTCATCTGGTGAATGCAGGCTCTACGAAGCTGTAAAGCTTGCAATCGTGGTATAATGAAGGCAAACACTCAATCAAGTTAGTATGCAGTAAATGCTTTTGTGATACACTGATGTTTTAAAGTGAACAAAACTCTATGAGAGATTGCAGCCCATTTTGCAAAACTTGAAGAACTTTTGCCAAGTGATGGAGCATACGTCAATAGAAAATAATATTATAAAAACAATCATATTACTAAAAATTAAAGTACTCTCAATATGTTCAAGAATTCTTTACTCAGTTTTCAACCATTTTAAAAAGTTAAGTAAAGTTTATTGCATCTCACTATTGAGAAAAAATTTGAAAAAATTATATGTTGTAGAAAATGTATAAAGGAAACAATTTGTGTTCCGAAAACTAAATTGTGCGTTCAGCCCGTTGTACCTTAAAGGACACTTGACCTTGTCCCAATGGTGTCCACTTAATAGGGGTTGCCATATACACCAAACAGGCATGGTATATTAAATTTCTTGTATAATGGGAATTCATAAAATGAAAGACACAGCCAGCAGTTAATACCGCATTTCCTAGAATAAAAGCCGCCCCCAAGTAGTTGCCTCCCTCGAATATACGCCTCTTGGGGCCAGAGTAGTCAAAGAAATTACCACCGCCTTCAAATAGATTTATTATTATTAACCAAGTATTTATTTAACTAGTAAAATGGCCGTCTAGTCACAGCTGAGTCTTAGTCATGTAGTTCCTTCATCCTATCGATTAGTTTCTTCTTTCCAGAAAAGGTATAGATACATGGTACTTCTAGGACCTTTCCAAATTCCCTTTTCCCATTAACATGAGCTTCTATTTGATCACAGGAGGAAGCAAGAAGTATGATGCAACTCGCGAAAACTCCCTAGGAAGAAGTACATGTAGCTCATAATGCAAAGACACTGGGGAACATCTAAACTCCTACAGCCTGAGGTAGAACATGAGAGTGTTTTTTTTCCAGACCTGGAACTGGAAGTAGTACAGTAGTAATTGACATGATAAAGATTGAATTATTTTGTTTAAAAAGATTATTAATAGTAAAAATTAATAATTAATTTAAAATTAATGAAAATTAATAATAATCGTTGCCCTCGAACAATGGCCGCCCTCATATAGTCGCCTCCCTCCTACAGATGGAAAAATGAAATAGATGCTGCGGCTTTTACTCGAGGAAATACGGTATAAGGAAGACAGCCACAGTTGCTACCACAACCTGTAAAATATGCATGTACTCCAGGATGTGACATTACAAGGTCAAAGTAACACTGTATGCACAATGCATTGGTTAAGTTTAGCACCATCGTTGAATGAAAATAAGTAATAATTAAATGTATGATGGCATGACACAAGTGATAATACTTTTTGTTGAAATTAATTGACAGTTGTGCAATGGAGAGTTTGCTAAAAGATGATACTGATATTGGACATCGTTTTTTATCATCTGCTTCACTTTTAATCTTACCAATTTTATTGGAACCAAGTCTGCCAAGGGTTGTTAAGATCCGTGATTTGTCCATTTCATGACACTTTCATTTTTGCATAATATGTCAAGTAACTGGTGACCTGTAATTTTCTGAATAATTTCTCTGGAAATCTGGCTTTAAACATAGGTACTATGGCATTAAGGCTGTGGTTGTCTTCACATTGTCCAAACCAGCTTCTGTTGACATTTTCTTTATCATAGAGGTAAGTTTTTATTCCTTGTGGTAACCTAATAATTATGCTTACAATTTACATGCATATACAGTACTGTACATGCAGTTAATAATGTTACTATTCTATTTTGTGTAAATGTAGTTGTATTTGTGGTTTCACATGTGCTCTCTTTTGTAGAACCTTCTGTGGTTATTCCCATAGTTGTTTATAAGTGTGTGCATGCA